TCCCGGGTTCAAGCAATTCTCCTGCCTCAGCCTCCCAAGTAGCTGAGATTACAGGTGGCTGCCACCATGCCCAGCTAGTTTTTTGTATTTTTTAGTAGAGACGAAGTCTCACCATGTTGGTGAAGCTGGTCTCAAACTCCGGACCTCAGGTGATTCACCCGCCTCAGCCTCAGAAAGTGTTGGGATTACAGGCGTGAGCCACTGCGCCCGGCCCTTCTTCTTTTTTTTTTGAGATAGGGTCTCACTCTGTCGCCCAGGTTGTAGTACGGTGGCATGATCTCAGCTCACTGCAACCTCTGCCTCACAAGTTCAAGCTATTCTTACGCCTCAGCCTCCCCAGTAGCTGGGATTACAGGCGTGCACCACCATGTCCGGTTAATTTTTGTATTTTTAGTAGAGATGAGCTTTCACCATGTTGGCCAGGCTGGTCTCGAACTCCTGACGTCTAGTGATCCACCCATCCCAGCCTCCCAAAGTGCTGGGATTATAGGTGTGAGCCACTGCGCCCGGCCCTTCTTTTTCTTCATTTACATTTTGTTTTGTTTTGTTTTGAGATAGAGTCTTACCCTGTCGTCCAGGTTGTAGTGCGGTGGCACGATCTCAGCTCACTGCAGCCTCTGCCTCACAGGTTCAAGGGATTCTCATGCCTCAGCCTCCCCAGTAGCTGGGATTACAGGCATGCACCACCATGTCCAGTTAATTTTTGTATTTTTAGTAGAGATGGGGTTTTGCCATGTTGGCCAGGCTGGTCTGGAACTCCTGGCCTCAAGTGATCCACCCATCCCGGCCTCCCAAAGTGCTGGAATTACAGGTGTGAGCCACCGCACCTGGCCTTCCTGTGACAGATTTCTATGCCAAGTTTCTCCCAAGAAACCAAGGCTGGTGCCTCTGAAGGCAGACTTCAAGGAGGGCATGACTTCCCCATTCTGATGCCCCCCCTGGCAGGCAGGAGACAATGGATGGCAGGGACCCCATGTCCGGGGGACTGAACTTTCTTCCCCGCTCCGTTTTCTGCAGGGGGCAGTAACGGCCATGACCAAAGCCTTGGCCCTGGATGAAAGTCCATATGGTGTCCGAGTCAACTGGTGAGCTGCTCTGAGCAGGCCGAGAGCCTTCTGGGGGAACTGGGGTGACTGGGAGTGATCCCAAGTGATTCGAGACAGATTTCTTTGATCCCCTCTTTCCCTTCCCCCAGTATCTCCCCAGGAAACATCTGGACCCCACTGTGGGAGGAGCTGGCAGCCTTAACACCAGACCCTCGGGCCACAATCCTAGAGGGCATGCTGGCCCAGGTAGGAGTGGGGTTCAGATCCAGGTGGTAGAAGGTGGCTTGGGGGTGGGGGACATGGCGATCAAATGGGGCTTCTCTTGACCTCCTTCCCCTCCTCTTTTCTCCCCAGCCACTGGGCCGCATGGGCCAGCCCGCTGAGGTCGGGGCTGCGGCAGTGTTCCTGGCCTCCGAAGCCAACTTCTGCACGGGCATCGAACTGCTCGTGACGGGGGGTGCAGAGCTGGGGTACGGGCGCAAGGCCAGTCGGAGCACCCCCGTGGACGCCCCCGATATTCCCTTCTGATTTCTCTCATTTCTACTTGGGGCTCCCTTCCTAGGACTCTCCCACCCCAAACTCCAACCTGTATCAGATGCAGCCCCCAAGCCCTTAGACTCTAAGCCCACTTAGGAAGGTACCAGGTCACCTGCAGGTTCCCATAAAAGCAATTTGCAGCCAGAAGGAGGAAGACATCGTTATATTTATTTCCTACCCTTTAGACGAGTCCTTCTGCCCACTTAGCCCCTGCACCCCAGACCCACAAGTTGCCTCTACCCTGAAGGACTGCAGCTCCCCCCGCCCCCCAATGCCAGGCCTTGCAGTAAGCAGGTGCCTGATGTTTGCTAGCCCTGTCGCTGTGGCCAGGGGCTCCTGGGAAAGGTGGAGCGGTTTGGCTTCACCAGCGCGCTAAAGGCCCGCAGGGGAGAGTAAATTAAGCGCAGTTAGGAGGTAATAGAGGGGGAGGCACAAAGGGCCCTCCTCCTTATTCTTGGCCCTTAGGGAAAAGGAGTCTTCCTCTCGGTGCCTGGGGAATAGGAAGGTGGCTGGCAAGAAAAGTCCAGAGGGAAGAGAAAGGAGGGGGTTGAGACATCTGGATCAGAGGGAGAAGGGCCTGAAACTCCTGGGTTTTGGGTCTGCAGGGCACTGGGGTATGCAGACTCCCCAGCTGGACCCAGGAGGGGCGCAGGGTCCGGGCGCGCTGGCGTCCCGCAGGTGAGGGGTGGAGCTGCAGGGCTGCTGCGGATTGGCTGTGGCGGGGGGGCGTGTGCGCCAACCGCTGATTGGCCGCGGCGGGGGCGGGAGCTGTCCGTGGGCGCCGCCCCTACAGCTCGGGGTTGGCGGTTGGGCAGCAGGACCCGGGTGGAGCGCAGAAAAACAGGGCGAGGCCCTGCGGGGGAAGGGTCCCGCGGTTTGGCTGTTCGGGCCTGTGGCTGTTGGGGTGGCAGGACAGTGACCCGGGGACAGGACTTGGGGGCACTGTGGGGGTAGAATTTGGAGACGGAGTGTCCCAGGGTAGGACTGCTGAGACACAGTGGCCAAGGGATCCGATTTTTGTTGTTGTTGTTGTTGTTTTTTAATTTGAGAGATTAGTCTCACTCTGTCGCCCAGGCTGGAGTGCTATGGTGCAATGTCGGCTCTCTACAACCTCCGCCTCCCGGGTTCAAGCGATTCTCCTGCCTCAGCCTCCCGAGTAGCTGGGATTACAGGCGCCCGCTACCACGCTTGGCTAATTTCTGTATTTTTAGTAGAGACGGGGTTTCACCATGTTGGCCAGGCTGGTCTCGAACTCCTGACCTCAGGTTATCCACCCGCCTTGGCCCCCAAAGTGCTGGGATTACAGGCGTGAGCCAGCGCGCCTGGCCAGGGACCTGATTTTGGTGCCACAGTAACCCGTAGGTTTGGGGGCACAGTGACAGAGGAGCACAATTTAGGGGGCAGTGCTGCAGGTTTGAATTGTTAGAGGTCAGAGGCATCCTGAAGGGTAGTGATTGGCGAACTCTGCCTCTGGGGTCCTGATGCTGTGGAGACACTCGTGGAGGGATAAATCAGGAAGCCCTGCGATGGGGACTGTTCTTTGAGGCTCACCTTTGAGTGCAGGATTGACAATTTTCAGGCTTCTCAGATGATAGGGGACTGGAAGAAGCCCTGGTGAACCGTTGTGTGTTTTTACCTTTTAAAGAGTCAAGCCAGGCGTGGTGGCTCACGCCTGTAATCCCAGCACTTTGGGAGGCTGCGGCGGGGGGATCACGAGGTCAGGAGTTCGAGACCAGCCATGACCAACATGGTGAAACCCCCGTCTCTACTAAAAGTACAAAAATTAGCCGGGTGTGGTGGCAGGCGCCCGTAATCCCAGCTACTCAGGAGGCTGAGGCAGGAGAACTGCTTGAACCCAGGAGGCGGAGGTTGCAGTGAGCCGAGATCGCGCCACTGCATTGCAGCCTGGCCTACACATATATCTTTTTCGTTGACAGGAAAAAATATTGGAATAGAGCAGTATCCAGGCGCAAAGTGAGGCTGCCCTTTATCCATACCTGTGGCCCTCTTCAAAATCCCTTCTCCGAAGCACCATTCCTGTTCCTGTGCATTTATGTGGTGTCCACGCTGCTGATATTTACCATGTGCTTTTCCCTTTCACAAAGGGATCGTGATACACGGAACGTCCTGCACCTTGCCTTTCCCTTCCTTTACCTCGGGCTGCTTATGCTTGCCAGTGCTCCGCCACAAGAAAATGCATTTTTGCTCCCAAGGAAATGCTTTTTTGAAAACTGTTGCATGCACGTTAGTACCTGGCTTGAGTGTGGCTGGAACACAGCCTGGGTGGGGACCGTATTTCTTTTTCTTTTCTTTTTTTTTTTTTTTTGAGACGGAGTTTCGCTCTTGTTGCCCAGGCTGGAGTGCAATGGCGCGATCTCGGCTCACCACAACCTCGGCCTCCCAGGTGCAAGCAATTCTCCTACCTCAGCCTCCCAAGTAGCTGGGATTACAGGCGTCTACCACCACGCCCTGCTAAATTTTGTATTTTTAGTAGGGACGGGGTTTCACCATGTTGGCAGGCTGGTCTCGAACTCTTGACCTCAGGCGATCCGCCCGCCTCGGCCTCCCAAAATGCTGGGATTACAGGCGTGAGCCACCGCGCCTGACTTTTTTTTTTTTTTTTTTCTTGTGAGACGGAGTCTCACTCTGTCGCCCAGGCTGGAGTGCAGTGGCGCCATCTCGGCTCACTGCAACCTCTGCCTCCTGGATTCAAGAGATTCTCCTGCCTCAGCTTCCCGAGTACCTGAGATTACAGGCGTGCGCCACCACGCCCGGCTAATTTTTTGTATTTTTGGTAGGGACGGGGCCAATTTTTTGTATTTTTAGTAGAGACGGGGTTTCACCATGTTGGACCAGGCTGGTCTCTAACTCCTGACTTCAGGTGATCCGCCCGCCTCGGCCTCCCAAGGTGCTGAGATTACAGACCTGGGCCACCTCGCCTGGCCGGGACCGTATTCCAAGACCTGCCCCCACACCAGCGCCTGGGCCCCGCAGCAGGGTTCGGCTCCCTTCCGGCGCCCTGGAGCTGGGGAGGCTTGGGGCGCTGGGCGGACGCCTTTCCCCAGGAGGAGGCGTGAGCGGGGCGTGGCCGGAACGTCTCTCCTCGGGGCCGCGCCCCGGGCGGGCACAGTTACGCGCCGCACGGATCATGGCCGCAGCCGCTCTGGGGCAGGTGGGTTCGCAGCGCCGGGGTCTGGGGAACCCCCGGGAGAGGCGCACTTCCGAGAGGACTACTGGCCTGCGGCCGGTCCGGTTCGGCGCCGCTCCTCCCGCCCTGGGGTTCTGCTGTGGGGCGCGGAGGAGGATGGCGCCCCTTGGAAAGGAGCACCAGGTTTTAATGGGGTGAGGGGGAGCGGGTAGACGTGGATGAAATGGGGCAAGTAATTGGTGGGGAGGTTAAAAAAAAAAAGGGAAACATGGAGGGGCACCCTGTAATGAGGGAGGCGTGGGGGTGGGGAGGTTGTGATTTGGGGAGTGGAGCCCTGGGGTGCGGTGGGGCATCAGCCTGTGGGGGCGCTGGAATAAAGGGGCCCAGGCCTCGAGGGCCGGGGACAGGTGAGCGCAGAGTTGAACCTCAAGTCCCAGCTGTGGGAATTGGACCTAAGGTCCTATTTTCTTGGAATGAAAGTTGAAAAAAATGGAGATGGGGATTGTTGTGATCCCAAACTCCTATCTGAAGCTCTGCACCTGGATTGGAAATCGAGGCAGTGTCTCATGGTGAAAGTGATATAGATGCTGCAGGCTAGCTGAGATGATCCCTTCTGACTGTGCGATGTCAAACAGCAGCAGCCTTTCCCAGAGTCTATGATTTCAGAAAACAAGTTTTCTCAGTGAGGAAGGAAACAGCCAAAGAATGGGGTCGTTACAAGCCTTCACAGCTGCAGTGTAACCTCGGGAGAACTGTCTCTGTTAACTTTACACCTGACTTTATTTGAGTCTCTTATCCTAGCTGATGAATGTCAGAGCAGAGTTTCACTTTCTTCGGCTCTTTGTGACTGATAGGGATAGTCCTGGGATGCTTGGGGTATGTGGGCAATCTGGGCTTTAGTAGTGACACTCCTGGACTGTGGGTGGGACAGTACTGGGCTTTGACGGGTACACTTGGGACTGATGTGGACCGTCTCATCATGGCACAGTTCTGGTGTCATAGGATAGCCCTGAACTCATGGGACATTCCTAGGCTCTGATGAAGGCAGAGATATCCTGTAATGGAGATAGTTGGGCTGAGTCCTCAGCTATGATGAGGACAGTCCCAGGGTGCGGAGGGAACAGTTCTGGACCATGGTAGGGACAGTCTCAAAGGTACTGGCCTAGACAGCAACATAGGGATAGTCCTGGGGATTGAAAAGGACAACAATGGTTTTTTTGTTGTTGTTTGTTTTTTTAATTTCAGAACTGGTGAATAGGAAATAAGCCCTGGTATTTGACAGAGGCAATGCTGGTTATAATGGGGAAAAGTGCTGGGCTTTGGAGGGGGACATTCCTGAGCTGTTTGGGACAGTACTTGGCTCTGCTGGGGACCAGTTCTGATAAGTTACAGGCACAATCTGGGCTTGTGATGTGGAGCATCTTGGGCTATCATAGAACAGCCCTGGTCTGTGATGGGAGAGTCCTGGGCTATAAAGGGGGCAGTTCCAGACATGGTGGGGTCATGTGTGGGCTGTGACAAGGGCAGACTATGATGGGGTCTCTCCTGGGCTGTGATATGGGGACAGTCCTGGAGTATGGAGGGCTGGGCTTTGACAGGGACACCACTGGTCTTTAATGGTGATACTCCTGGGCTGTATGGGATATAATGGAGGTTCTGTCACATTATAGAAACCTGCCCTGTGCACCCCTAAACCTACTTTATTTCTTTGTCTTTTCTTTTTGACCGAGTCTTGCTCTGTTGCTCAGGGTGGAGGGCAGCGGTGTGATCTCTGCTCACTGTAACCTCTGTCTTACGGGTTCAAGCGACTCTCATGCCTCAGCCACCTGCCTTAGATTACAGGCGTGACCCACTATGCTGGTCTTTTATTTTTTTTTTTTAGAGAGACACTCTATCACCCATGTTGGAGTGTAGCAGTGTGATCATAGCTCACCACAGCCTTGACCTACTTGGCTCAAGTGATCCTCCCACCTTAGCCTCCTGAGTAACTGGAATTACAGGTGTGTGCCACCATACCTGGCTAATTTTTAAATTGTTTGTAGAGATGGGGTCTTGCTATGTTGCCCAGGCTGATCTTGAACTCCTGGCCTCAAACAGTCCTCCCACCTCTGTCTCCCAAAGTGCTGGGATTACAGGCATGAGCTACTGAGCCCAGCTGCCTTCTTTCCCTTTTCCTTTCCCTTTCCCTTTCCTTTATTGAGATAGAGTCTTGCTCTATTGCCCAGGCTGGAGTGCAGTGGTATCATCTCGGCTCACTGCAACCTCCGCCTCCTGAGTTTAAGCAATTCTCCTGTCTCAGCCTCCCAAGTTGCTGGGACTACAGGCGCCCGCCACCATGCCCAGCTAACTTGTATTTTCTGTAGAGACAAGATCTCCCTGTGCTACCCAGGCTGTTCTTGAACACCTGGCCTCAAGCCATCCTCCCACCTCGGCCTCCCACAGTGCTGGGATTACAGGCGCGAGCCACTGCACGTGGCCTCTTTCTTTTTTTTATGAGGTGGAGTCTTGCTCTGTCGCCCAGGCTGGACTGCAGTGGTGTGATCTCTGCTCACTGCAAGCTCCGCCTCCCAGGTTCATGCCATTTTTCTGCTTCAGCCTCCAGAGTAGCTGGGACTACAGGCGCCCGCCACCACGCCCAGCTAATTTTTTGTATTTTTAGTAGAGACGGGGTTTCACCGTGGCAGCCAGGATGGTCTTGATCTCCTGACCTCGTGATCTGCCCACCTCGGCCTCCCAAAGTGCTGGGATTACAGGCGTGAGCCACCACGCCCAGCCCACATGGCCTCTTTCTATGATTAGATCTCTTTTGGCATCTCTTGGTGTCAGTTTGTTTTATTTGTTTGTGCCCCCCTTTCTGTGTCTCTTTTTCTTGTCCTTCCTCTTCCCTCTCTTATTCTCTCTTTTTCATCTTGGCTCTGAGGGCGACTCTCCTGCCCACAGGCTGGCTGTCTCACTGTGTCTGTCTCTCTCATACTGTGGGTGTCCTGTCCCTCTGGGCAGAAGCATGGCTGCAAGGCCAAGCAGTCTAGATGTCACCACCCAGAGGCAATCCGGGGCCCCACACACTGATCACCCCGGAATCCCTGGAGCCCCACACCAGCAAGACCACGCTGCAGCCCCATCTCCCAGTGACTCACCTAGCGACCAGTAACCACGGCCATTCACGTCCATCCTCCAGAATCAGTGCCAACTCACCCAGCTTACAGGGCAGGACAGGTCAGGCCACTCTGTCTCCCTCAACCTCACGCCCCAACTGCCTCCCCACAGGGCTGGGGAAAGAGGCATTGTGAGGTCAAAGGTCACCAGTGAGGGGCCAGGGGCTGAAGGGAATTGGAGTCACTGCCAAAGTTCTGTCCAAGGTGTGGGGTTTGGGCTTCAGGTAACCAGAGCCCAGTTGATCGAATACTTTCAGAGAATCAGCACCTGGACTCCTGGGTCTGGCGGAGGAGGGGCTGGGGACCTGGACTCCTGGGTCTGAGGGAGGAGGGGCTGGGGACCTGGACTCCTGGGTCTGAGGGAGGAGGGGCTGGGGACCTGGACTCCTGAGTCTGAGGGAGGAGGGGCTGGGGTCTGGACTCCTGAGTCTGAGGGAGGAGGGGCTGGGGTCTGGACTCCTGAGTCTGAGGGAGGAGGGGCTGGGGTCTGGACTCCTGGGTCTGAGGGAGGAGGGGCTGGGGACCTGGACTTCTGGGTCTGAGGGAGGAGAGACTGGGGGCCTGGACTCCGAGGTCTGAGGGAGGAGGGGCTAGGGGCCTGGACTCCTGGGTCTGAGGGAGGAGGGGCTGGGGACCTGGACTCCTGGGTTTGAGGGAAGTGGGACTGGGGCCTGTACTGGATGTAAGCGAGGAGGGTCTGAGGCCTGGACTCCTGGGTCTGAGGGCAGAGGGGCTGGGGTCCCAGTCTTCGGGTTTGAGGGCGGAGGCAGCTAGAGTCTGGACTCTTACTTAGGTCTAAGGGAGGCAGGCCTGGGGGAGCAGGACCTGTTGGTCCCTTGGTCTTCTAAGGCCCATCAGCACTTGGGTCCCCGGAGGCCTGCACTTACCTGTGTGCCTTCCCTGGTCGTCGTCTTGTCTGAGCTGATCTCCAGGCTGGGACCAAAGGTCTCTGGGGTGGGAGGCGCTTGCGTTTGACTTTGCCCCAGCATGGAGGAGGGGGCCAGAGCTGACTCATCTCTTTTTTTTTTTTTTTTTTGAGACAGAGTCTCGCTGTGTCGCCCAGGCTGGAGTGCAGTGGTGTGATGTCGGCTCACTGCAAGCTCCGCTTCCCGGGTTCACGCCATTCTCCTGCCTCAGCCTCCAGAGTAGCTGGGACTACAGGTGCCCGCCACTCACGCCCGGCTAATTTCTTTTTGTATTTTTAGTAGAGACGGGGTTTCACCGTGTTAGCCAGGATGGTCTCGATCTCCTGACCTCATGATCCGCCCGCCTCGGCCTCCCAAAGTGCTGGGATTACAAGTGTGAGCCACCGCGCCCGGCCTTGACTCAGCTCTTTCTAGGGAGCCCTCGTCGGGGCAGGGAGAGGACTTGGCCTCCATCAGGACCACCTGCCCCTGTCTAGAATAGACTGAGACTGGGACAGAACAGGCAGGCCAGTGGGACCTCCAAGTGCAGGAGGTGGCGAGTGGGCTGCCAGGGCCCCTGCTGCGCCCCATTCACCCTCTCTCTCACTTCTTTCTCCACCCAGATCTGGGCACGAAAGCTTCTCTCTGCCCCTTGGCTTCTGTGTGGTCCCAGAAGATATGCCTCCTCCAATTTCAAGGTGAAAGGAGGGAACTCGATGCTTGGCTCTGAGAGAGGAGGGGGCTGGCAGCTGGTTTTGGGCATCTCCAAAAGGTCCACAGCCCAGAGATGGCAGTGGGTAGCCTAATAGCCCTGCCATTGGGCAGTGGAAAAGGGATGAAACTGCATGTCCCAGAATACTCCAGGGTGACGGGTCCTTCTTCTCTATGGGTCTGAGGCCCAGGGCTTCATGGGAGTTGTAGTTTTTCAGCTTGGAGGTTGTGGCCAGATTCTAGGACACCCCTGTCTTTCCTCAGGCTGCAGACCTGCAGCTGGAAATGACACAGAAGCCTCATAAGAAGCCCAGCCCCGGCGAGCCCCTGGTGTTTGGGAAGACATTCACTGACCACATGCTGATGGTGGAATGGAATGACAAGGGCTGGGGCCAGCCCCGAATCCAGCCCTTCCAGAACCTCACGCTGCACCCAGCCTCCTCCAGCCTCCACTACTCTCTGCAGGTGGCATAGTGGCCGGCCTCTCTCCCCATCCTTGTCTGCGTCTCCTTGCTGTGTCTCTTGCCAGGTGCACCTCCCTTGGTTTGTTTGTTGTGTGTTTCTCCTTTCTGTGCATTCGTCATTCGTTTTCTGAGGCCTTCCATTCTCCAGGCCCATGCTCGGTGATGCTGGGTTCGCCGAGATGAGCAGACCCCATTCCTTCACTTGGAAAACCCCATGCTGTGGGCATAACTCAGTGTGATCTGTGCTCTGATGGAGGCCCTGTGGAGGCTAGTAGAGACCCCGCCTCACTTGAGAGAAAGCACAGCTTCTTCTGGCATAAAGGGGAGCTTAGTGGGGATGGCGGGAGAGGTGACAGCCGGGGTGATGGTAGGAGAGGGGAGAGCCGGGGGGATGGTGGGAGAGGGGATAGCCGGGGGGCGTGGCAGGAGAGGGACAGCTGGGATGATAGCGGGAGAAGGGACAGCGGTGGGTTGGGGGGAATGGTGGGGGAGGGCACAGTCGGGGGTGATGGCAGGAGAGGGACAGCCAGAGGGATGGCAGGAGAGGGGACAGCCAGGGGAGGGATGGCGGGAGAGGGACAGCCGGGGGAGGGATGGCAGGAGAGGGACAGCCAGGGGAGGGACGGCAGGAGAGGGGACAGTTAGGGGGAGATGGCGGCAAGGGGGCAGTTGGAGGGGATGGCAGAAGAGGGGACAGCCAGTCCAAACCCCAAACGGGAGCAGAGCCTGGTATATTTGGGAGAAATTGCGGTGTTGGATCGTGGTGGAGGAGGCTGAAAATGTCAGGGCCATGGAGAAGCCGAGGGGCTGGGGCCTTGTCCAAGGGTGCTGGGAGGGGCTCTGAGGAAAGTAGGGGCAGGGCCACGTCTAGGTATAGTGAGAGCCCTCTCAGGCCTTGTGGAGGACATGAGTTACAGGCGAGGAGGCTGGGCTGGTGACCGGGTGGACCCTGGGCCTGTCCCCACGTGGGAACCCAGGAGGAAGAGCAGCTTTGTGGTACCTGGCGAGCCTGAGAGACTTGTGAAGTTTCTAGGAGAGAGATCCAGGAAGCATTTGGTTTTAGGACTTAGAGCTATGGCTGAAAGCAAAGTCTTCATGAGGAAACTTTGGTTGAGACAAGATTTTGTTTTTTTTTTTTTTTTTGAGACGGAGTCTCGCTGTGTCACCCAGGCTGGAGTGCAGTGTCACGATCTCGGCTCACTGCAAGCTCCGCCTCCCGGGTTTACGCCATTCTCCTGCCTCAGCCTCCGAGTAGCTGGGACTACAGGCGCCCGCCACCACGCCCGGCTAGTTTTTTTGTATTTTTAGTAGAGACGGGGTTTCACCATGTTAGCCAGGATGGTCTCGATCTCCTGACTTCGTGATCCACCCGCCTCGGCCTCCCAAAGTACTGGGATTACAGGCTTGAGCCACCGCGCCCGGCCGAGACAAGATTTAAATGAGCATCTTGCAGCTCCAGTAACTGGTTAGCAGTTTGGCTGATTTGGGACCTCCAGAGCATGGTTCTGTGGCATTAAGACTTCTATTCCGTTCCTTTCTTTCCTTTCCCTCCCTCCCTCCATATTTTCCTTTCTTCCTTCCTTTCCAGAATTTTAAGGTTTTGTTTTTTTCCCCTCTCCCCTCCCACTGTGGACATCTACGCAACACCAGTCGATTCTGTACAGAGCACATACACCTTCAATCACAGCCAGACACTTCTGCCAGGGCATAAGCGGGACGGGCAGGATTACGCCTGCTGAGCCTCCAGGAAGCTGGTTACTTAGAGACCACCACACACTTCTCCCTTCAGCCCAGCACAGCAGTTGTCCTCTGGCTGGGGACCCAGTACTTTTTCTTCAGTGGAGTGAGCACAGAGGAAGCCTGTGGCCCGGGCAGACAGAACGTGCTGCTGTGATCCCGTGGGTCCAGAAGGCGGAGGGGGGCGGCTGAGGGAGTAAGACAATGCCGTCCCCATGTCACCCTCACTCCGGGGCATGTGTGGATTGCAGGCCAACCACGTGTATTTTATTTTATTTTATTTTATTTTATTTTATTTTATTTATTTATTTATTTAGAGACAGAGTCTCTCTCTGTCCCCCAGGCTGGAGTGCAATGATGCAGTCTCGCTCACTGCAACCTTCACCTCCCAGGTTCAAGTGATTCTCTTGCCTCAGCCTCCCGAGTAGCTGAGATTATAGGCATGCACCACTATGCCTGGCTAACTTTTGTATATTTAGTAGAGACATGGTTTCACCATGTTGGCCAAGCTGGTCTCAAACTTCTGACCTCAGATGATCCACCCGCCTCATCCTCCCAAATGGCTGGGATTACCGGCATGAGCCACCGTGCCTGGCCTCCAACCATTTTAAAGCCCATAATTCAGTGGGAGGCAATGTTATACAACCATTACCACCATATAGGTTCAAAACTCTTTAATCCCCCATACCCATTAATCGGTACCTATTGTCCCTCACCCCAGCCCCTGACAACCATTAGTCTGCTTTCTGTCTTTGTCTACCTGTATTTATTATTTTTAAATAATAGGGATGGGATTTCACCATTTAGCCCAGGCTGGTCTTGAACTCCTGAGCTCAAGTGATCCACCTGCTTCGGCCTCCCAAGGTGCTAGGATTACAGGCTTGAGCCACCAAGCCTGGCCACCTGCATTTTTGTTGTTGTTAAGACTTTTTTGTTTGTTTGTTTGTTTTTGAGACGGAGTCTGGCTCTGTCGCCCAGGCTGGAGTGCAGTGGCCGCATCTCAGCTCACTGCAAGCTCCGCCTCCCAGGTTTACACCATTCTCCTGCCTCAGCCTCCCGAGTAGCTGGGACTACAGGCACCCGCCACCTCGCCCGGCTAATTTTTTTGTATTTTTTAGTAGAGACGGGGTTTCACCGTGCTAGCCAGGATGGTCTCGATCTCCTGACCTCGTGATCTGCCCATCTCAGCCTCCCAAAGTGCTGGGATTACAGGCTTGAGTCACCGCGCCCGGCCATGACTTTTTTTTGAGACAGGGTCTTGCTCTGTAGCCCAGGCTGGAGGGCAGTGGCATGATCTTGGCTCACTGCAGCCTTGACCTCCCAGGCTCCAGCGATCCACCTGCATCAGCCTTCCGAGTAGCTGGGACCACAGGTGTGCACCACCATGCCCAGCTAATTTTATTTTATTTTATTTTTATTTTTAACTTTAATTTTTTTTAGAGATGGGATCTTGTTGTGTTGCCCAGGGTGATCTCAGATTTCTAAGCTCAAGTGATCCTCCTGCTTCAGCCTCCCAAAGTCCTGGGACTACAGG